TCCCTACACTATGTATTATTTATCAATACAAAGGGGATATTGATTTTGTTTCTTAGTTCTTAAGGTCTAAAATAAAAGATGCATTTGTTCTGCATACAGGGAAAGCAGTAGCTGAAAAGGAAGTAAACCGTATCACTGAAAGTGTTATTCCAGAGCCACCTGCTGGCAATTCTCATTACACTATAATTTGGCCTGCTATTTCATCTACAAATATGTCAATCTCCTTACTCAAGTCAGTAGTCAGAATTAGGTATCACTATTCGGTTCAAAATATTCAGTGTACATTTACTTCATGCCAAACACTGTGTTTGATGCTTTCATATGTGTATTTATTTAACCCCCATCTAAAAGCTGTTTAAAAAAAAAAAAGACAAATGATAGCTTACATCAATGAAGCAAAGATAAAGCTAGTTCAGTGAGATTATTGTTACACTTTATCTTACTATCTTACTATTATACATAGGTCACTCAGTTCTACTAATCATCTAAAAAGGTAAATGGTTATGAAAAAATTATGTAAACTCGGCGACTATAAAAATCTGTTGAGTATAGTTCTATTTCTTGAGAACTCTCACCATTAAGTTTCTTCCAAGAAGAGCCTGAAGAACTCCACTTTTCCCACAGTTTTTCATCCCAATCACATTACATCTGAACACATTTCTTTGAGTCTGTTTTTTCTGAAGGTCTATCTTTTTATCTCTTGTTACTAAAAAGAAAAAAAAAAGCTAATTATGTACTGCTTAGGCTCACTGAGCCTTCATTTCACATTCTGCAAAATAGGGTATTGCTATTTATCATTTTTACAAAGTGTTCGATCAATAAACATACTGTACAGTAGTCAAGCTGTATGTGAAATAAAGTACAAAATATAATACAGAAGGGCCCCACTTAGTGAAAAAGATGCATTTCTGAAAGTCGGCTGTAAACTTCTAGTAACCAAATGATATTCATTTCATCATAAAATAAGTATGATTTACATAACAAAATGATATCCGAAAAATGAATGAAAATTACAATGAATACAGCCAATACTATATCCCATCTTTATTTCCGTTATAAATTATTGTCATAACAAATTATAAACTAAAAGATGCTATCTCAAAACTGCACTCTCTTGGGTCTATAAATGGAAAGAAGATATGCACCCTAGGGTTAACTGGCCTTCCTAAGGTAAATCTGTAAAAGAGGCAGCCCTGAAAACAGTGTTGTATCAGCAGAGCAATGAGGCATCTCTTCTTTTTTTTTTTTTTTTGCGGTACGCGGGCCTCTCACTGTTGTGGCCTCTCCCATTGTGGAGCACAGGCTCCTGACGCGCAGGCTCAGTGGCCATGGCTTACGGGCCCAGCCACTCCACGGCATGTGGGATCTTCCCGGACCGGGGCACGAACCCGTGTCCCCTGCATCGGCAGGCAGACCCTCAACCACTGCGCCACCAGGGAAGCCCGAGGCATCTCTTCTCGAGGTAAAGAGACCTCCTTTAACTATACCCAAAGATTCAACTACAAGAAAGCTCACTAAGAGGCACTATTTATAGCAAAAAAAACCCCTGAAAGTGATAAAAAACAGATAATAATTATGGGGTAGTTAAGTTATAGAATATCCATATGATGATACTTTATCTAATCTTAAAGATATATAAAGGTACACTTATTGATAATAGAAATATGGCCACAATGTTTTGTTGAGTGAAGAACCTCATGCTGGCTAATTAGTTCCTTAGTCTTTGGTGCTGCATTAAATACTGTCTAACTGGTTAAGTACTTTGAAGGGTACTTGTTCTGTCAATTTCACAAAGGCTGTCTTCTTGTAATGGGGCTTCCTGTGAGATATGGCATTTTTCCCCGCAAATCAGGATATAAGAACTTCTTGAAATGATCAGCTCCCTAATTTGTTATTTCATATTATATCTATGGGTTTTCTTTAAGTGGAGCACATTGCCTGGCAAGAATGCCTGGTTAACATTACAAGATATGTGAAAGATTTTTTAATGTGGAAAAAGGTTATAAAACTGAGAGATGTACAATCAGTTGAATACCAGGATCATGTGTCAATAGGCATTGTTTTCAATGTTTAAAGAAAATTAAAACACAAGATAGACTGGTAAATACTTTTCATGCCCATAGCCCTCCCTGATTTTCATCAATGAAGCACCCTCAGGGGGAGACTAGAGGTAAAACCTCTACTCTTTCTTTTTCGATAAACAATTAAATCAAGCAACTTACCTCAAAAGTGATTACCAAATCAAGGGCAAACAAATAGAGTATAGACATGGAAGACTAATGAAGATGCATTTATTTTTACTCTTTTTACATATGAAACTGGAATCCTAAAAAAAATGTTTTTCTAATCAAATAGCATACAGATACTTACCTGTGATGGCTGAAGCTTGAGACTCTTGCTCAGTCAATATTGAATAGCCTAGATAACCCAAATACTCCAGGCACCGCTGCACATCTAAATAGGTCGTGAGCCTAGGAAAGGGAAGAGTTTAAAATGTGAAAAGTTCCTAAATGAGTATTTATTAAAAAAAAAATTACAACAGCTCAAATAATTTTACCACTAGACCCAGATAATTTTTGTCAGACTGCTTTAATTTCCCATGTGCCCAACCATGGCTTTTCCTACAGTGACATTCTTAGGGCAGAGATGAAAGAGAGGAGAATGCAAGATGTGGGGTGGAGGGGGCTCCTGTATCTATTCCACCTGCCTGGAGAGAGCAAGGCCACACAGATGAGCAGTGAGCAGCTGGTAAGATCTAGAGCAGGGATATTTTATATTATTTGCTTCCCAAGTTACATATTGTACTGCAAATACGGGCTAGTTAAGGACTTAATGATAATTAAATCTATAAAGGTTTGCAAAAGGTGCAAAAAATAACTGAAAGGCTAAAAGGCACTTGAAAATAGTTAGCCTTTTGTATGATTTTTTATTTTTAACTTTCATATGATTTGAAAAAAGAACAGATCCTGGTGTTGAGAAAGTTATTTTCGCCAAGGCTAAAGTAATTATGTCATTATGCACAACCAGAGAATTTTTTTAGCACCCTAGACAATAGGTCAACAAGACTGCAGACACCCTCACTAAGTCTAAGAGTTCACTGAAAACAAACAACAACAACAAAAAAATCCTCAAAGTAAGAATTCAGTGTCAAGTAAAATATGCTCTCCCCATATTCTGAAAATACAAGATTTGTACAATAACAATGATGTTTCCCTTAATCAAAAGTATTAAAACACACTGTAAATCAACTATACTCCAATAAAAAATTTTTTAAGTATTGAAATTTACTTCCATTTTTATATGACTTATTACTGTTTCCCTGTACCTCATCCAAAAGCAAACACATCCCTTCCTGATAAATTTATAGAACATCTATAGTTCATCTTAGAGGTAGCAGCAGCACTATAAATCCTGCTCACAGGCAGCTACCATTGAAGCACTTCACAAGATCTGACAAATATACAAAATGATGAACGTAATGCACCATAATTTCAAACTAGCTGTAACTCTAGAGGAAAGAAGTGAGCTCTATACTCACGTCCACTGGGAAAGGAATCCCTGGTAGGTTATCCAGCCTTTTTCATTCGTACAAACTGTGTTATTCACATCTGGCCCCCAAGGTATGTAAGGGAAAACTTTAAACAAGTCTTTAAGCTCATCAGGTGACAAAGCACAGTCTCTATCCTGAAGATACACAAGGAAGTATACATAACATTTAGATATCTAAGAGGATAATTCCCAAATGCAAGAGCCCCCTAATCAAGTAAAACTATGTTTCTAAAAACTAACAAATGAAAAGAAATTTTACATTTTATCAAGAAAACTCCTTACACATATATAAGGAAACCTATGCAAGGGTCTATCAGAAACTAGACTTTTTCATCTTGAGAAAATAATAAAGTAAATAATATGAGAAACTATCTTTGCTACTTTAAGAAAGTTTGGGTAATTTTTGGCTATGTGACAGGAATACCCAATAGCTCAGGGATCAGAGTTACATCATTCACAGGAAAATATTTTATCATATATCATGGAAAACTGCAGCTAAAAGCTTACCAAATCATGCTTGTCAAAAGTACTCTGGAGAAACAAATATGCGTGATGATTTAATTCAGTAGTGCAATCAGGAGGTATTTTTAGCCTGTTGATGAAAAAAAAAAGTAAAATAAATCATTAACCAAATATTAAAATTTAACTGGAGAAATGAACATGAAATTGCAACAAGTATTTTTGTAGGATGGCAGCAATTACAGAACATGTTTTCTGTAGCCATTTAGACTTGCCCAGGGAAAGTCACTGCAGTGGTATGGCAATTCTCAGAAGAGTCATAATAGTGCTCATTCCAAGATGACAGTTTTCTTTTTTTTTTTTTTTTTTTTTTTTTCAAATTCCTTTTCAAATTCTACTTAGTCCTACATGATACCTTTTTGTTTTTTTTTGTTTGTTTTGTTTTTTTGTTTTTTTTTCCCTTGCGTTATGCGGGCCTCTCACTGTTGTGGCCTCTCCCATTTGCGGAGCACAGGCTCCGGACGCGCAGGCTCAGTGGCCATGGCTCACGGGCCCAGCCGCTCCGCGGCATGTGGGATCTTCCCGAAACGGGGCACGAACCCGCGTCTCCTGCATCGGCAGGCGGACTCTCAAGCACTGCGCCACCAGGGAAGCCCGATGACAGTTTTCTTAACTATCTGAAGGGCAGGTTGTATTAAAAAATTTACAGACAATACTGATTAAACTGTAATGGGTTGTTCTTCCTACAAACCAATTATAAGTCAAAATTATGAGCTTTAAACAATGTCAACATTGTAATGAATTGAAAATGATGTGAAGAGATGTTATTTCTGCCTGATTTGACCTTTGACACACCCTAAATTCGAGTCAATAAACATTTATCAAATGCACAGAGGTACTGGGGACATAAAAACAAGACAGGCTCCCTACCTCTAAGGAACCACATTCAAGCTGGAGACAGACCACAAGTAGATAACCTCACTATCTCAACAGAATGAGGCAACTGTTGAGTATGGGTAAATTACAGATGCTAGGGGAACCCTTGTAAAAGGGAACACCTTGGCCTGGGGATGGGAAGGTGTCAGTCAGCACTGCTGAGAGACACTGTCACCTGTATTGAGTCTTGAAGGATAACAGACGTGAATTAGGTTGGGGGAAGAGGGAGGAAGAGAGTAAAAATACCATGGACAAAAGCCTGGAGTGGGAAACAATATCTGATTGGTGGACCAGAAATAGTTTAGTATTTACTTCTAGAATGAAGGCAGGGAGTGAGCCGGAGTGAGCCGATCATGAATGACCTCCTACCCCGGGTTAAGAAGCTTAGGCTTTATCCTGCCTTGAAGGGTAAGTGACATGGCAAAATCCATGTTGTATATCTATTAATCTAGCAGCAGTGTGAAGGACAGGGGCAGAGAGTTTAATAAGAAGACTCAAGTGGTGGCTCTGAAGGGGCTACTTTACAGAAAATTAATGGTAGAGCGCAGAAAGAAATTAAAAGAGATCTTAGTGTAAGTCACAAAGCCATAAAAGATGGAGTTTCCTTATTGTCATACTTTAGAAAGCAATAAGCAACCTCCCACAGAATTTATCTACCCACATAAATGGCACAGTAAAGAAAACTTGATAAAAAAAGTCCTGGGACAAATGCATTCATTCAATATATATTTATTGAAAAACCTGGGAAATTACCTGAGCCAAGATTTAATAACTTTGACAAGGGAAGTTTTAACTTAGAACTGATTAATGGACCAGGAATCCAACTAGAAATTTTGCTTCCTTAATGATGGGGAAGGAAAAACAATAACAAAGTTTTTCTGAACCCTTACATGGATAGCTAGCAGTGCTACGCTAAAATTAAAAAGCAGATCATGAAGATAATGTGCTACTGAAAAAGCGAAGAAAAATGGTGAAAGGCTCAAAGGCCAGATCTTGGCAAGTCACTTCCCTGAAAAGCCTACTTCCCTTGGGTATGGGAGAGGCATCCTATAGCAAGGCAGTCTCCTATTTCAGGGTGATGCTGGGTTCATCATTAAACATACAGAACTTAAGCATATCATTATCTAAAGAAAAACAACCACAAAGAGACTGGTTGTTTAGGGAAAATACTTATTTTATCCTGAGCTGAGAACCGTCTATAAAACTTAGGGAGGAGAAGGACTAAAGAAAAGAAAAATGCTAACCAATATATTCTCATCCCTTGACTCGAAAAACAAGTTCGTCTAGCATCTTTTATCTCCTTCCTCAATAAAATGAATAAAAAAAGATACTTGTATTCTTCATTAGAAGAAGAGGAAGAGTTTGAGCCATGCTATAAATCAGTGGCTCTCAACTGGGGATGATTTCACTCCTGAGGGGACATTTTTGGCTGTCACGACTCGGGGAAGAGGTGCTGCTGGCCATCTAAGGATGTGCTAATAAACATCCTATAACTCGTAGAACAGGCTCTACAATGAAGAATTATCTAGTCCAAAATGTCAATAGTGCCAAGTTTGAGAAACCCTGCTATAAACGGCTCTATAAATCTATAAATTATTCCTGAGTAGCTCAGAGCCTACCTACCAACGTGCTAAATAAAACTTTAAAATACTGGCAAGTGAAATCAATTAGAAGCCAAAGGTACATACAAGGGAAATAAATATTCAGGTGTCAAATCCAGATCGTCATCATAACCAAATCGTCGAAGCACAGTCCAAGTAGTTTCATGTCTCCCTCTCTGAATAAAAAGTGTGTGTAAAAAAAGAAAACCTGAAATAAAATAAATTAGTAAATATAGCTGATGTGAAAATGGGTAGAGTCACATGGAAGAAAAGCATGTAACACATACAGCAAGAGCTAGACTCCTGAATATATGTGTACTAGTTTTGCATATGGAAGGTCAAACCAAAACAACGTTCGCAAAGAGTTGATTTCAGAATCATTTCACAGATACACCCAGGTCAGCAAGAGATGGCACTACATGAAAGGGCCAAAAACATATCCCAAGGAATATACTGACATTCACATGGTTATATGATAAAAACAAATGAAATCATTTTAATTTTAAGATAAATTTGTTTCTGAAATCTCTTACCCTCAGATGGACCTCTGCACGCCTGAGATCCAATCAATTTCCTTACCTCTAATTTATACTCACAGTAAAGATAATTATCCCCACCAACGCCTGCCTCTTCCAACTCTTAAACATCCATGTTAGATTTTAGGTATATTAGTAAATACAAACATTTCCCTAAATGTAGATAATACTATAAAGACTTTTGCCTTCCGCTAAATTTTGAAAATATTAAATTCAAAAGGGGGAAAAAGCACCATTCACCCACCTTTCAATGTCAATCCACTATCAGCCACACCATCACTTATATGTTTTCTGACTACATTTTTGACATCTTCTAGAGCTTGAGGAGCTAACGGAGTGTTGAAACAAATTCTCTAGCAAAAAACATAAAGTTAAAAACAAATCAGCATTAAAACCACAAATAATACAAATATTAATCCACAAAGCAACATTAAATCAAAGAGTTGCAACCAAAGGAAACACATTCTGAATTAGCAGAGCCTCTACTTTGTATTAAGTAAAACATGTCATACTTAGGACATGTTTTCCCTCCCCTCCCCATCATGTTCCTAAAACACAGAGCTCTTTGTGTAGCTATGTTATACAAAACTGAGAAAGAAAAATAATTCAGAGTTCAGACTCCAAGTCACCCTTAATAAACCCACTGTACACCATGAAATGACACTCTCAGAGTCCCCTCAATTCCTAAGCATAAGAGAGTTTTATCCCCTAGGTAAAGATTAAATAGCCTGATGTGAAAGAGAGTTTTTACATGAAAGAGATGCGTGTTTATCAAAATACCATTGTTCAAGCCAATAAATTTTTTCTCTTCTCAGCAAAAAAAGACCAAGATACACGAATATTTGAAATAAAAGGCTACCTGAAAGAAGTTGAGTTCAGCATCATTGAGAGTACCATCATTATCTTGATCAGATATTTTAAATATACGAGTAAGGGCTTTTACACAGGCTGGTTTCATCTATAAATCATTGAGAAAAGAAACAATCGTTTTAATGTAAATAGCTGGGATTTTAAAATATGATTTTCATAAATATGCTGAGAAGAATTCTGAATGTTTTCACTGCCAAATACATAACATCAAATACAACCAACATGAAAAATGAACTAAAGCAAAGCCATTTCCTTTTATACCCAAGCCACTTTAAGTAAATGAGGGAATATTTACTTGGTCCGATCTGGAATGGTTAAACTCTCCCTTCATGACCACACACCCTCTGAAGGTGGGCAAAAGAGAAATTCATCTTTAGGGAAGATTCATTCTTGCAGTCATATAAGGAAGAAATGCCCTCTCTCATTCCATAAAGAATTTGAGCTGACATAAAACTACAGTAAAGGCTTTTCTCCCCCAACTTCTCTGATTTTTGACCTTCTAGCAGCAAAAGGGGACTAAATGTTTTGGTCTGTCACTTGTGTGTGTGTGTATATCAAAGCTGGGATATAAAATGTACTGATTCGCAAGCAGGTGACAAAATAGCACTGGTCGATAAGTGTACAAGTCTTTTACTAACTTCCTATTATGAGATAAGAATTACATTTAAAAAATTACATTTTTGACTCTACAACTTTTATAAGAAAAGCTGCTGGAAATGTACTTTGACAACTTTTATTTTAGGATTTATAATGGATAGAACAAATATTTGACTATTTAAAAATAAACCCCAGGGGCTTCCCTGGTGGCGCAGTTAAGCCGATGCAGGGGACACGGGTTCGTGCCCCGGTCCGGGAAGATCCCACATGCCGCGGAGTGGCCGGTCCCGTGAGCCATGGCCGCTGAGCCTGCGCGTCTGAAGCCTGTGCTCCTCAACGGGAGAGGCCACGACAGTGAGAGGCCCGCGTACCGCAAAAAAAAAAAAAAAAAAAAAAAAAAAGTAATTGAAGAAAAACAGTGATGCGTTTTTCATTAAAGCTTGAAATGTATCAGAAGCAAAAGTGCTCTAAGGTACTAGCTCAATACAATATTTAAATATTAATCTCTTAAAATATAACACCAAAAAATGACTACTTTTTAAAAGTATTAAAAATTATACTTTAATAAAACTAAAATATTTTGGCAGTAATAAAATAAACTCATTTTGCATATAAGGTAATCTAAACCCTCACACAGATCTTTTGCATTGTTAGGTAAGCAGAGGACTCCATGGGTCATACAGAGTCCGTCATCACCAGAAACACATTTCAAATTCAGGCTTTAATTTAGAATATGATCTTTTTGATGATCCTACCTCAAATCTGTTAAAAGCTTATTAATGTCTAAATAAAAGATCCTGTTATAAGCTTAGACTCAAGGCTTGTACTTGTATAAATCAAGGCATATAGTCTCTAAAAGTTATAGATTTTACCTTAGGAAGGTCCACCTAAGAAATGACTAACAGATGGTAGTAGGTGTTTTACAGGGAAGGGAGGATTAGCAGATTAGCAGAACTAATAATAGGCCTAAGAAAAAAGTAGCAATTAGAGAATTGAGAACAAACTAACAGTGGGGATTTAATGTACTGCTAGGCTAAGCTGAGAAGTAAATCTCTCCAGTATGAGACTGTTTCCCAAATTTTCTTGATCGTAAGATATAGCACCTGGCTGAATCAGAATGGAATCTGTATTTTTTTTTTTTTTTTTTTTTTTTTTTTGGTACACGGGCATCTCCCTGCTGTGGCCTCAGTAAAAGGAATTTTTTTTTTTTTTTTTTTTTTTTTTTTTTTTTTGCAGTATGCAGGCCTCTCACCGCTGCGGCCTCTCCCGTTGCAGAGCAAAGGCTCCGGACGCACAGGCCCAGCGGCCATGGCCCACGGGCCCAGCCGCTCCACGGCATGTGGGATCCTCCCGGACCGGGGCACGAACCCGCGTCCACTGCATCGGCAGGCAGACTCTCAACTACTGTGCCACCAGGGAAGCCCCTGGAATCTGTATTTCTAACAAGTACACCTAGTGACTATTATGAGGTGAATTTGGGAAATAGTGAATTAAGAGCAAGTTAGAAATAAACACTCCAAATAAGGAACAGTAAACCAGGATTAAGGAAGAGTAAATCAGGGTCAGATTAAGGGATAACTAAGAATAATATTTATACCAGGGGTCAGCACTTTTTTGGTAAAGAGCTACATAGCAAATACTTTAGGCTTTGGGGGTCAACAGGCAAAATCAAGGATATCATGTAGGTACTTACATAGCAAGAGATAATCAAATTTCCACAAAGTTTTTATTAATGAAATTAAAAATATAGTAATAACTGGGTATATCTTTACTATACAGGTCTACTAATGAGAAGGATGGAATTCCTCTTAGAGCGATAACATTTGGCTTAATTAGGGTTCAAAGTTAATGTTCCCTACCTTGTAATAACCTATAATGGAATATAATCTGCAAAAAACCCCACAAAAACAAAAAACAAATCACTACGCTATACACCCGAAACTAACAAAATATTGTAAATCAACTATATTTCAATTAAAAAAAAAAGTCAGCATTCCCTATCATGAAAATCAATTGCAAGTGTTCAGCTGTTAATGCTGATCTGTAATGAGATTCTACATATTCCATCTTTGAAAATGTCTTTTTGCACATATACACACTGCCAATAGTGACACATATCTGTAAACATATAACTTTAATTGAGCACATTCATCACTTGGAAGGCATTTACAGAATCATATTTGATTTTTTTCTTGATATTGCCCGTTAACACATCATGACACTGCAGATTGATCAGTTCCAACTGAAGGCTGGGTGGAAGCTCCTCAACTGCATGGTCAAATGGATTAGGAAATAAGGAAATTTCCTTTGCACGTGCATTTAGGTCCAAAAAAAACAATGCTGAAATTAGAGCTCAGAATATATATCTGTTTTGCCATCTGAAAATGCACTTTTTTTCTTTTCTTGTTTTGGCATGATAGGTATATACTAATAAAAAAATAAAATGCCGCAGTACAGTGGTACACGTGGTACATGAAATGCTGCCGAATTTGAAGCGTGTCAGTCCAGTTAGCAGTGCACTGAGCAGCAGTGTTATGACAGTTACCACATATAAGCTCTGTTGCAACTATGCAACTCTGCCTTTGTAACAGGAAAGTATAGACAAACATAAAGGAATGAAGGTGGCTGTGGTACAATAAAACTTATTTATCAATGGTGAAAATCTGAATGTCATATAATTTTCCCATATCTCAAAATATTATTCCTTTTGATTTTTTCCCCAATCATTAAAGAATGTAAAATGTATCTTAGCTCATAGGCTGTATAAAAACAGGTGGCAGGCCAAATTTGGCCTGTGGGTCAGTTCTACAACCACTCACCTATACTATAAACTTTTCCTGAAAAAAATGCTTTCAGGAAACTTTTTCTCCCCCAGCAAACTTTCATTTCTTAAAAACTCAAATACAACAACAAAAGAAACAAATAACTCCATTAAGAAATGGGCAAAATACTCAAATAGACCTTTCTCCAAAGAAGATATACAAATGGCCAATAAGCACATGAAAAGATGTCCAACATCGTTAGCCATCAAAGAAATGCAGTTCAAACAACAAGGGCTTCCCTGGTGGCGCGGTGGTTGAGAGTCCGCCTGCCAATGCAGGGGACATGGGTTCGTGCCCTGGTCCGGGAGGATCCCACATGCCGCGGAGTGGCTGGGCCTGTGAGCCATGGCCGCTGGGCCTGCGCGTCCGGAGCCTGTGCTCCACAGCGGAAGAAGGCCGCAGCAGTGAGAGGCCTGCATACCGCAAAAAAACAAAAAGAAAAACAACAACAACAAAAAAAGAGATACCACTCACATCTACTAGGACAGCTATAAACAAACAAACAAAGGTGGGGGCTGGGGAATAACAAGTGTTGGCAAAGATGTGGAGAAACTGGGACTTTCATATAGTTTAGTGGTTCCTCGGTAAGTAAAACATAAAATTACCACATGACCTAGCAATTCCACTGCTAAATAGACACTCAAAACAGGGGTTCTAACTTATGTGCGAATGTTCTTAGCAGCTCTTTTACGACAGCCAAAAAGTGGAAGCAACCCAAATATCCAGCAACAGATGAATGGATAAACAAAATGTGGTATATCCATAAAATGAAGTATCATTTGACCATAAAAAGGAATGAAGTACTAATAATGCTACAACGTGGATGGATGTACCTTGAAAACGTTACACTAAGTGAAAGAAGCCAGACACAGGGACTTCCCTGGTGGCGCAGTGGTTAAGAATCTGCCTGCCAACGCAGGGGACATGGGTTCAAGCACTGGTCTGGGAAGATCCCACGTGCCACAGAGCAACTAAGCCCGTGCACCACAGCTACTGAGCCTGTGCTCTACAGCCCACGAGCCACAACTACTGAGCCTGCGTGCCAAAATTACTGAAGCCCGCATGCCTAGAGCCCATGCTACGCAACAAGAGAAGGCACCACCATGAGAAACCCATGCACCACAACAAAGAGTAGCCCCCATTCGCCACAAGTAGAGAAAGCCATGCACAGCAACAAAAACCCAACGCAGCCAAAAATTAATTAATTAATTAATTTAAAAAAATAAATAGGCATAAGACTCTTAGACAGCCTCATCCACCGGAGGGCTGACAGCAGAAGCAAGAAGAACTACAATTATGCAGCTTGTGGAAGGAAAACCACATTCACAGGAAGACAGACAAAATGAAAAGGCAGAGGACTTTGTACCAGATGAAGGTACAAGATAAAACCCCAGAAAAACAACTAAATGAAGTGGAGATAGGCAACCTTGCAGAAAAAGAATTCAGAATAATGACAGTGAAGATGATCCAGGACCTCGGAAAAAGAATTGGAGGCAAAGATCGAGAAGATGCAAGAAATGTTTAACAAAGACTGGGAAGAATTAAAGAACAAACACCTAGAAGAATTAAAGAATGAACAAACAGAGATGAACAATACAATAACTGAAATGAAAAATACACTAGAAGGAATCAATAGCAGAATAACTGAGGCAGAAGAATGGATAAGTGA